CTTCATTTATCAAATAGATACAGTCAAACCAAAATTTATTCAGACACCTTCAACATTTCTCACATTATCACAGTTTATTCGCTATAGTTTAGAAAATGGTAATAAAATATAACAAGAACTCAAAGTTAAACTGTGTCAGAACAAATTCAGCTTGATAATGTTAGATAACTTTGATAGAAAGGTATGTAATGGATTACAATCAACCAAAAAATTAGACAGCTGTTAGTATGACAGTATTTACACAACTATCAATAGTTAGTCGGCCAACCCTTAGCCTTAATGACAGCCTGTCACCCAGCTTCATGCAAACCTCAATTTAAATTTTTTTTCCCCCAGATTCGGTCTGAATAATTTTTGGTCCCAAATTTATATCAGTTTTACTGGTAGTCCACTGTATGAAGAAATTTTGGGTATAATTTGTCACAGTTTACTTTATTTTGCTATCCTCACTTACATAAATTAACTATAGTGTCCTGCACCCACTAGTAAAAAAATACAAAAATTATATCTGGTCTCTGAATAATTTTTGGTTTGACTGTATATATTTTCACACATAATTATGCCCATTAAAATGTATTTTACAAGTTTTTGTTACTTTCACTGTTCATTTTTTGCTTTATGGTACATCATCTTTAATTGAATAGCATTAGAGCTGCTCTATGCAGTGGCTTAGTACTGTAATCACGTGCTTTGCTGTAATAATGCAGGGAACCACTCGTTATAAATCTCCTAACTGATATTTTCAGAAATAGAATTCACGTTTTTCATCTGAAACGTGCTGCGATTTATATTCCAAAGCCAATCATATAATGCAGAAACAATCAAGCAAGCAAAACACGTGCAACGCGCGCACGTATTTGTACTGGTGCAGAAAAGTACAGCCTAGCGCATTTCACACAAGCTGTTAGATTCACTTTCGCCAGAAATTAACGAGTACAAGTACAGAAGCTCAGTATCGGTGCATCCCTAACTTTGATCATAATTATGTCTCTCATATAGTTTTGACTTTATCTTGTAATTATGACTTAATATATTATCAATTTAAAGCTCTAGGCAGACATAAAAAAGAATATATATATATATATATTTTTTTTTTTTTGCATTTTACGTTCATGTGTAAATGTCATAATACTTTGATCATAATTATGTCTCTCATATAGTTTTGACTTTATCTTGTAATTATGACTTAATATATTATCAATTTAAAGCTCTAGGCAGACATAAAAAAGAATATATATATATATATTTTTTTTTTTTTTTTTTTTTGCATTTTGCGTTCATGTGTAAATGTCATAATACTTTGATCATAATTATGTCTGTCATAGTTTTGACTTTATCTTGTAATTATGACTTAATATATTATAAATATAAAGCTCTAGGCAGATGTAAAAAAAAAAAGAAAGAAAAGAAAAAGAAAACGCTCTTGGTTATGACTCACTAAAACATTGTGTCACTTAAAAATGTCTTGATTACTCTGCTACACTAAAATTCATCTAGTTTAGTTTACGTTATACATTTTGAGGCCATTTATAATTATTTAAATAGACTAAGTGAATTGTAACCCTTGACGTTTTTTTGCTAGTATTCACCAGATAATAATAAATGCAACAAATGTATCTGTTACAATCTATTTTTGGTTGATAACTTCAACTGCTTGATGTATCAGCAGTCTCTAATCTCAGCCAACTATAGATGCAGAGGCAAAAATAAAGAATGACCGTCAAGCACCACAGATGTTATTCAGAGTTCACATGAAGAGGCGTTTTTCGTGTTCATGATGTGGTATGATTACCATCATGACATGAGAAGAGAAACAGAGAAAACAGAGAAACTTTAAGAGAAGAATAAAACTAGATGGATTTCGCCTGAACCACTTTTTTTGGTGTTTACCTGCTCCTTTAATGGGTCCCAGTCATGCTTAGCCATTTTCCCTGGTATCATCACCTCTTCCAGTTGAGCAGGTGGTGTGTTAATTAGCTCTCATCACCTTACTGAAGCCTGACGGAGGAGGAGAGGGAGTAGATCGTTGAGTCTATGGGAGATACAGCTGCTGCTGCTATTAGATCAGTTTATTACACAACCAAGGATTGTACAAGCATCAGAAATAATTCACGTCCACAAATGGCAGCTTAATGAACAGTTCCACGAGAGAGTAACCCACAAGATGCCCGCGAAAATGTATGTAACTCTGTTTCATACAACACCAGGTAGTGACCATTTTGAAAGCATGCGTCTTAAATTGTCAACATTTGTGTTGTGTTAGAAAATTAGGTGCTGTATGTATTTTGTATTCAATAAAATACATATTTTAAATAAATAAATATTTGGATTCCAGTCAGTTCTGGAAAAATTACGAAGTGTTCAGATTGTGTTATTTTGGAGAAACCAAAATGAAAACTGTTCAAAAGTTTAGGGTCATTAAGATTTGTTTTTTTTATGTTTTTGAAAGACGTCTCTTATACTCACCAAAGCTAAATTTATTTGATCAAAAAAGAACATTGTGAAATATTATTACAATTTAAAATAATTGTTTCTATTTGAATATATTGATTTATTCCTGTGATGGCAAAGCTGAATTTTCAGCAGGTATTCCTCCAGTCACACAATCTTTCAGAAATCTTTCTAATATGCTGATTTGGTGCTCGAGAAACATTTCTAATTATCAATGGTGACATGTTTTTTCAGGATTCTTTAATTAATAGTTCAAAAGAACAGCATTTATTTGAAATGGAAATTTCAAATGCCTTTACTGTAATTTTTTAACCATTTAAAGGCTCAATATGTAATATTTTTTTATTAAAATATCCAAAAACCACTAGAACAGTGTTATATATTTTGCTGACTTGTGTACTTACATTATCCCAAATGTTTAGAAGAATGTTTAAATCCAGAGAAATAAGCAATTTTAACTAGTGACACGGAGCGTGTCTATAGTGTCATTGTGTCGCCTGCTAATGACGTCATACACCCTCGTTTTTCCGGTTTTGTTTTGTAGAAAACATGGAAACACCAAAGACGCTTTAATATGTTGTGCGTTTTAATAGACCGGTGATGACTACACAGAGTAGCATTATAACAGAACTTTCAAATGTATCTAGTATGATAAAACAGCGCTGCTTTACCCCACATACTCACGACCAGAAGGAGCGGAAGCGGTCGACTGTGGCATAATAAAAGCTCCGCTGCTTTCCAGCCGAGTGTCACGCTCATTCAGCGGCCTCGTTTCGCTTCGACGGCTTTCAGCCTCACCCTGCTTCATTCTACTACGTTAATAAATCATTAGCTCATCCATGAACATGATTTCTGCCCGAGTCCCGTCGGATTGCTTCGGCTGTGGGGATGAAGACGACAACTCCCATGATTCCACACTCAGTCACGGCGTCATCAAACTACGCCTTTGTTTCTTTGTTTATTTTGAATGCGCGCCCTCTAGTGGCGAAAATGACATATTGTGCCTTGCTAAATAATATTTTTTTCTTAAATAATACAAAAAAACGTACTAACCCATCTGCGCATCTTTTGTATGTAGACAAAAGATGTCTATAACAGAGATCTTTGTGCCCACCACAAAGCCCTCTCTCTGTGTTCATCCCTCATGTGTAAGCCTGGGGTGGCAGCTTAAACCAATTCTAGCATCCCGTTTCCGCTCTCACTGACAGTCTGATATGGTTAACCATACCAAGATCCAATTACCTTCCTGCTATTTGCTCTTACTCTTTCTAAAACTCTGTGCCCTGCTCATGCTGAGGTCAGAGGCATAAGACTGCTTCACTTTACTGGAAGTAACTAGTTAATGTAGCACACTTCTCTCACACACACACACACACACACACACACAACTCACCTTCACACAAACAAGTTGGCCATTTCACTCTCTTTCTCTTTCTTTTTGTTTGCTTTTCTCTTGGATGGACACATCAGGCTTTAAATCGGATGTGCTTCACTGGAGCTTTGTTTGCCGTGCAGCAGGATATCGCACAGAGAAAGTGAAATTGGCAATTTGGTGTGGTGGGAAGGAACAAAAAGAGAATCAAGTGTCAGTAATATTTAGAATGAGATTCTTGCATCCAGATGATATAACAGCATACAAAAATATTCTCACTATGTAAAAATACAGGTTTCAGAAACCTAATTCATAATACTGTCATAAATCTGACACTTCTGGTATAATGTTGCTAACATGTGAAGTGTAAAATGGCATGAAATTATTATTTTTCTTAGCTACATGTTTAAAGCTACATCAACTTTAAAGGGAAATTGGGTTTTATTACTTTGTTAAATATTATATAATATTTATTTTTGCTGTATTAAAAAAGGCTGCAAGGGGGTGGTTTGGGTCCACAGAAAATCTAAAGAAAAAATATTTTACCCAAGCTTTTTGTTTAATTTGTAATTGTAGTGTCATATATCATCGTTTGAATGTTCTTTTGTGTATAATTGCTGCTGCTGAGTGCTAAGACAATAAAGCATAACTTGACCTTTCATGACAAATAAGATTAATCACAATATTTTACTCTATTGACAGTAAGTTAAAGTGTGTTTATATATAAGTGTGTATGTATATATATATATATATATATATATATCTCCTACAGTGAATTTTAAATGTGATATTTTCCATACAATATTTTAATCATGTTTGTGTATTTATTATAATGATTGTATAAAAGCCAAATATCTAGTTCTGGAAACAACAAGTGAAACAACAGTAGTATTCCCATATACTATATAGATATTTACATATTAGCTAGGAGATCATCATATTGGAGGTTCTTAGCATAAATGCATTCCCTCCCCTCTAATGATTATAAAATGTATCCTACAATGTATACAGTACATAATACGTGGTTCCCTAAACAGGGTGTGCAATAGGACCCTCCAATATTTAGCTGTAGCCTATTATACTGATAACAAATACATCAATTACATAATATTGTAGAAATGATTGTTATTTTTTTCAGTTGTATATAACCATTTTTTTTAAATGTCTTTTCTTTCAGTTATGATGAATGTGTGGGACAAGGGACGCAGATATATGTTCCTACTGATGATCCGCCCCCCTACTCCCTCACAGACCCGTGCCGGGAGCATCCCGCCCCACACCATCACACAGAGATGGAGGATCTGCTCGCTGGGGCTTCTTGGGTGTCAGCAAGTGGCTCTTCCCATTACCCAACCAGACTACAGGACTTCAGGCACCAGCCGATCGCCTCCATCTCTTTGTCAGCCTTACCTTTAGATGAGGCACCCCCATATGAGGCAGTAGTGAGTGAACAAAACCAGCCCCTTCCTCTGATGCCCCTGGATCTGCTCAAACACACTACAGAGGAGAGCAGTCCTCAGGACAGCGTTTCCCACAGGATCCTGTAATCCTGGCCTCTCCAGCACACTCATGCGCCACCTGTACCAAACCAGCTTTGAGAGGGACTCTTTTGCGTGGCTGGGGTCTCCTGAGTCAAGAGCTGAAACCGACACCTGCAGAAGCCCACAGTTACCTCTCACTTCAGCCGACACAGATACTGGACCTCCTGTTTTATGTGACACTGAGGGGAGCCACCATAAGAGCACAGGGCTATCGACCACTTTTTTGTGCGTCACCTCACCTTGTCTTTTACTTATGGTGTAATTAGATGTCAACGTGTGTCTTCTCTTACTGGTAGACTGATTTCAATTTCACAAGCATCACAGCTAATTTCAACAACCATCGAAATGTGCCCTTCAGGATTTCAGAAAAGAGCAGAAAGCCTCTCAATAAACCTGGGACCATAATAGAGAAATTTACATAGGAATAGAAATATATCTTTATTTTAAGTGTGAAAATATGTGTTCCTGCATGAGTGACTGTGTATTTCCACATGACTGTCTATTACAACTTTTCTCCCTTTTTTTTCTTTCAAATTTTGGGTTGGTTTTAACGGTTTACGTTTTGTAAACTGAAAGTTTTTTTTTTTTTTAAGATAATATTTTGTAAATTTCATAGAATAACTAGCAAAGATGAAAAATTACCTTTAATAGAAATTTGAATGTCATCAGAAAATCAATGTGCTTTGAATCCATACTTTTTTACACATTTTGTTTCTTTGCTCCTTTACATCAGTGGTTCTCAACCAGAGGGCCAGGGCTCATTAGGGGCCTAAACCAAAGTCTTAAAATTATTTAAATTTAGTTATATTAATATAATCTCAATGGAATAGTTAACCCCTAAAAAATAATAATAATTTGCTGAAAATTTACTAACCCTCAGAACATCCAATATGTAGATGAGTTTGTTTCTTCATCTGAACAGATTTGGAGAAATTTAGCATTACGTCACTTGCTCACGAGTGAATCCTCTGCAGTGAATGGGTGCCGTTAGAATGAGAGTCCAAACAGCTGATAAAAGCATCACAATAATCCACATGACTCCAGTCCATCACTTAACATCTTGTAAAGTGAAAAGCTGCGTGTTTGTAAGAAGCAAACCCATCATTAAGGTGTTTTAACTTCAAACTGTTGCTTCTGGCCAAAATACCAGTCCATAATTCATAATAATGCTTTTTCCATTAAAAAAGTCCATCCCCTCTTGACCTCTCACACCAAAATACACCAACATATTTGTTTAGAAATGCTTTGAATTATTTTCGCTTGTAAATGGAGTGTAATCTTGTTTCAGACAAGACAACTTTTTAGGCAGTAGTAATGGTTTGTTCAAAACATGATGGTTTGTAAACTACAAAATGAAAAAAGTCTAATGGTGAATTTATTACAAACACTCAGCTTTTCGCTTCACAGGATGTTAATTGATGGACTGGAGTCGTGTGGATTACTGTGATGTTTTTATCAGCTGTTTGAACTCTAATTCTGACGGCACCCATTCACTGCAGAGGATCCATTGGTGAGCAAGTGATATAATGGTAAATTTCTCCACATTTTTGGATGGCCTTTGGGCAGGGGTGTCCAAAACTGTTCCTGGAGGGCCATTGTCCTGCAGAGTTTAGCTCCAACTCTAATTGAACACACCTGAACCAGCTAACCAATGTCTTCAGACTAACTAGAAACTTCAAGGCAAGTGTGTTTGGGCAGGTTTGCGCTAAACTCTGCTGGACAGTGGCCCTCCAGGAGCAGGATTGGACACCCTACATTTTCAGCAAATTTTCATTTTTAGGTGAACTGTTCTTTTAATTAAAATTATAATAAGTAAATGAATAAATGAACCCATGCAATATTAAACTGACATCTTATTTATTTATTTGACATCAAGTTTATTTATTTTTATCACAACAAAAGTACCAGATGTGCATATTAGCAAGATAGCAGGGCCTTCTGGTACTGTCTCGGACAAAGGAGAGCCTTAGAGTCAAAAACGTTGAGAACCACTGTTTTACATCTATTTCATAGATCACTGTGATTTATTTATATTTCCTTCTGTTTGCAGAGACGTCTGTTTTCCTAAAGTCTCAAATGCATCTGAAGATCCTATTAGGAGAACAGCAGATGTGTGATAAGTGATATCAATGCATTTGACAATACAAGCTATAATTAGAAAGGGCTGCAGGGAACACTTTGCCAAAGGGTGTAAAACAAATTTCCATCGTTCTCCTAAACTACATTGATGCGGTGTACATTATAACATAAGACCTGAGACTGGTATCCAAGCAGCTCCACTGCACAGCCTTTGTAGCACTGACGTCAGTATGAAATAAAACATAAGATAGTTCTTGCTGGACACACTCTGTGCTTCCTAAACATGTACTATGTATCAGATTTGTATCTGTTTTTGCTCTAAAATTGCCCACTTCATTCATTTTAACACGAAGGCTTCCCCACACGCATGTTTCTAATATACAATGTGCCTATTAATCACCATGACTGTTAGATTAACATTTTTAAGTGTAGAAACTTTCATTCCAAATGATACATATATATATATATATATATATATATATATATATATATATATATATATATATATATATAAGCTGCCCAGAAATGACACCTCACCTCTATTCTCACCACTTCCCTCACAGCACGAAAGTATATACTTATAGAAAAGAGGGTCTGTAAGGGATTTTTAAATTGAATTTGATGCATGAATGCGTTTCTTGTGTAGTGAAAAGCAGCTCAAAGCAAAAATTAATATTAAAGGGGTCCTATTATGCTCTTTTACAAAGTCTTGATTTTGTTTTGGGGGTGTACTAGAACAGGCTCTCATACTTGAAAAACACATTAATTTTCACATATTTTACATTATTACAACACCTCTCTCCCCAGTCTGGCATGAACGGTTCGAATAGTTCCTGTATCAAATGAAGGCCCGCCTTCTGAAATTAAAAAATGTGCTGTGATTGGTTAGCTGGGCCAGTGTGTGCTGTGATTGGCAGCACTCGGCACCTGGTCGGGTAGCTTACCATAGCTACCTGTGAGATTCAGTGTAAATATTGCGTCAAATTCAAATCAATTTGAGCGCGATTTAAACCCGGATGATTGTAATCACTCTAAGTTTGTCTGCCTTGGGAAAGCTAGCGTGTCTCCGACATAGTGATAACACTCGTTGCCTTCTCTAGTGCAGCTCAACCAGGTCTCGTCCCATTCATCGATATTTGTGATATCACAAATCCCGGAAAATATGCGTTATAGTCCAAACGAGTCATTCATTGTAGTTTTTGAAAAGTGATTTCTGTTAAATAAAATATCTCCTTTTGAAGTGGACTTTGAGCTTTGCAGATATTTATTATGCTCAAACAGCAACATTACAGACTAACTTTAGTTGAAAAAGTGAAAAAGCATAATAGGACCCCTTTAAATGGCCCATTATTTATTGTAGTTTGAATGGATGTCAACTTTGGACTCATATTATTCTACTTTTGACTTCCACCAATGTTTAGTTAGAAAGTTTATACTCATCACCTTTGAAGAAAGGTAACTTTTTCTATAACAACACATCTGAAGTAGCATTACAAGGTAATTTTGGGTAGATGTCGAGCCTGTCTCGTTTTGCTCATATAGCTCTGTAAAAGCGTGAGCTGTATCAGACAACACCTTAGATGAAGAAATGGTCCAGATGTTCTATGACGTAATGAGTATAGGTGTATTAGCTGTTGCCACCACACTGTAATAATAATACTGTGTCTGTAAACCCTTGACTTTAATGGAATAGTTCACCCAAATATGAAAATTTGCAGAAATCGTACCCTTATGCCATCCAAGATGTAGACAGAGTTTGCTGCTTCATCGAAACAGATGTGGAGAAATTTAACATTAAGTCACTTGCTCACCAATGAATCCTCTGCAGTGAATGGGTGCCGTCAGAATGAGAGTCTGATAAAACATCACAATAATCCACAAGTAATCAGCATGACTCCAGTGTCAATTAACATAGCGAAAAGCTGCATGTTTGTAAGACACAAATCCATCATTAAGGCATTTTAACTTTAAACTGTCGCGTCTGGCCAAAATAATTCATAATCCATAATAACGCTGAAAAAGTTCATCCCTTGATGTCCTTTCACATCAAAATCCACTGACATATTTGTTTAGACCTGTTTTGGTTTGTTTCCACTTACAAATGGTGCAGACTTTTCACTGAAAGCATATGGATAGAGGCCTCGTGTTTTAGTCAGAAGCAGCAGTTTGAAGTTAAAAAAAGGTTTTGATGGATTTGTTTAGTCCAAAAACGCAGCTATTTGCTTCACAAGATCATTAATCAATCGACTGGAGTCGTGTGGATGCTGAATTTGTCTGAATGGTGAAATTCTTCAAATCTGTTCAGATGAAGTAACACCCTCAGGCCATGCAAGATGTAGGTGAATTTGAGTATATTTTCAGCAGATTTTCATTTTTGGGTAAACTATTCCTTTAAGTCACACTTGTTAGCAAGGCTGTAGCAATTCAGTATGCATACAGATAAAACGAACACATAAAGTACAGATTTAAAAGAATATTACCAAATTCCTAATGAAGATCTATTTCCCATTGGTCACACAGTATTTATTTTCTGTTGTTTTTAGGGTTTTGTGTATTTTAGCTGCATCTAGTGAGCTGATGTTCAGGAAAATCACTTTAACTGGCTTACATTTGTGTGCTAAACTATTTTCATTAGTTTCATTAGACCACATGGATGTGTTTCTTACACCAGAATAGCACCTTAGCTTCCAAGCCCATTGTAAATGTTGACTTGTACATTAAATGAATCCATCTCAAATGTGTTAATTCTCTGTCACTATGTTGTGGTTGGTTGTCCAAAGTGATAATGTTGTTTCATAGAGCTGCAGACATTGATGTGCGTTTTGTATTAAAGTCTTTATTCCTTTACCACTGTATCCTCTAAATAAATAAAAACACAAGACTTCTATCTACCGAGATGTCCATCTTTCAGTGCTTTCTGGGAGAATTTTACGTTTTGTAAAAACAGACCCATAGCAAATTCAGTAAAACAGCAATGAAAGATTTTGTTGTGCTGTTACTGCTGGCAAGTTTCAGAGAATGTCGTGCAGTTTAGCAACAGATGTTGATTGTACACTGAAGGCTTCCAGATGGACAGAATATTTCCTGAACCATTTTGCTCATTGACTCCTGTCACTCATAATGCATTATGAGCCTCTCACTAGCACTGATATGGATATTCATCTCTCTCCTGCCTGTTTGCATGGTGGGCTCACAGAAAGCATCTTGAACAGATGGCCTGTGCCATAGCTCTGCCCTTAATTAGCCTCTTATCCCAGAGCTCCTCTTCTATTAAACTATACCAGAGGAGTGCTCATTTCATCCAGAGCTGACACACATGGTGATCCACACAACTCTATCACACTAACTACTGTACACTACAGAAATATAAGTACAGCCATTTGAAAACATTTAAACGTATTTTAAACATGAATGAGACACACGTAATTACTGTGAATTTTACCCTCT